TAATTATATTTTTATGAAATGTGGAATGATACTTTAACCTGACAAGCCAAACTTCATTCTAAGTGTTAATGAAGATATTATTAATAAGAGGAATGCAATATTATTAATAAGATGAAATCATGGGACACAGTAACGCTAGCTTTTTAATGCTAAATGACACGTCAAAATATATTGGGTATAGCAATGATAGCGATACACGTGGACATAGCAGTGCAAACTTTTCGATGTTAGTGATACGTCAGAATACACCAATACCGACATATCAGAGATACCGAGCACAGAAGTGATGGTTCTGGAATTCAACATTATCCATCACGTATGCATATGCTTTTCTCGGGAACCGATTACCACTCCATTATCGTCCTCACTCATTATTAGTGACAGTAAACAACTGCTGTAGTCGTTATTACAATGATAGATTTTTTCATAATTTGTTGCACGATGCGGGCAATCAATGGGAAATCTCAGATGGGTTATTGATTTGAGAGTTCTCGTAGTGAATGGATATGACATGCGGTTAGTTGAGAGACAGTAAGTGTCATCAGAACTGGAACATGAATGAGACCGCACGTCATGATTGATTTTGATGTCCACTAGACTTTTCCAACGAATGACTCGTATTTTGAAGTATTTCAGCTACTCTCGGTTAGCTGTTAAGGATACACATGTAGCAGGCATTTGATCGCTTTATAATTAGCTTATATTTCCTTAGTATAATTTCATGGAGCATAGTTTATCCAGTGCATTTAGTTTCTTAGGTTTATCATCGAATTGAACTGATCAGTAGAGCAAAACTTTTTAGTGATCTTGTATTATAGCTTTTTTTTTTCAGCTGTTTAGCAACAGTGCCTTTTCTCTCATCTGCCTGTATAGGCAGATAGCACACTGATTTATTTAAAAAAGTTCACGCTACTTACGTCAAATCTTCTCTTTACTGAGTTCATCGAATGGATGGGTTCAAATTCCTTGTTATTATTTGTTTAACAAATAACAGTATCTCTTCTCGTTCATTTCTCCAATTACTCAACTATTACCGACATCTGTTTATCATTGGCTGCTTAAGCCAAATTTCACTGATTTCCAGTACTTCTTCCTTTCTCAGCACGTATTTCCTAAATGAATAACGTATTTGTAGAACTCGAAAGATTGCAGTACCAATTTGAACTTCTCATTTAGTTGCATTTAATACAATGAAAGAAAAAATATTTCATAGTTCCTTTTCTAGGAATGATATTGTCCATTTTTTGTTTTTTGATCTGTTCGTTCAAGTATCTTTTCGTATATTTCTTGTAACCAATTTTTCAAACTATTTGAACTTGACTTAATATTAGTTGAAATCAAAAAATTGAAGCAAATCTCCAATATCATATGTCTTTATTGTATTATTTTTGATGCTCTATTTAGCATCAAATCGTGGAACTCATAATTCTGATGTTTTTGAATTCTTTGCTCTCTTCGCGGTACAATTAAAACAGTTCGGAGAGTCGTTATTGCTCCAACCATAATATAGAAAGATTTCATTTGTCAACAATTTTCAGTAATGAAAGATTTATGACGAAAAGAAGTTACAGTTGCAATTTACTACTTAAAAAGATGATTGGGACTTAGATATCAAAAAAACCGAAATAAAGTTAACTGGGTCAGATCAAAAAAACCGAAATAAAGTTGACATATTTATAAACTTTCTAAAATATGTGGATCAAAATCAGAATTCACGGTAATAAAACTATGATTTATTTTTGCTTTGTTCTTTTTATTAAGTAGCATATTTCTTGTGCATACAAAAGGTCGATCTGCCTCAACCGTGACTCCATTGCTGTATTAGAATGTAAATCGTAACGTTTTGAAATGTAAAGTGAGATTTGATATCCTTGAAATCCTGCACATTAACAGTAATAGGAACTTGAAAGGTATTAGCAAAAATTAAATTAGCAGAGTTGTAATTTCGGAAGTCTGGTGAAAATAGATAGTGCATAAGTCGTCTATATTTAGAAACAGAAACCAATAAGTTATAAAATAAGAATTTCATCATGAACTTAATTGAAATTTGTATCTTCCGATAAGGTTTGATGATACTTTTCATTGCTATACTTAACAATAGTGCCGCTTGATTAAGACAAATCAAGTGCACTACTATTGTAAAGCCAATGTATTACAATGAAAACGGAAGAAATGGATTATTTATTTCTCTATGCACGATTACTAGATTATCCAGTTAATACCTTTCTGCCAATCTCTCACAACTCGTTCAGTAATTTGCATTTGTTTAAAATGATTTTTGCGGATTTGATCATCGCGATGTGTGTCTATTTCGATGCGATATTTATGCAAAATGAGAAACTATTTCTCTCATTTTTCGCTTCTGTTTTCAATCCGGTCGGTCTGCATCTGCATTTTTATTTATTCTACTCCACAAAGTGTATATTATTTTATTGAGCGTATGTTTCTTGAGTATATTTTTGTATATGCTTATTGAGTATATTTGATAAATATGAATTTTGTGACTGTATAATCATAGACATCGACTACTAATAGACAGCATGATCGCGATAGCAAAATGTGGATATTGTGTTAGGAAAGTGAGGGAGTGAGGCGTATCGAGAATGAGGAATCAGTGTGAGACTGACAAATGAATGGGACGATGAGTACGTCAACTAGCAATGAGTGGATTATATTGTATAATTAGACGTTCATAGCTTAGATCTTCCTGCTTTAGCACTAATCATGCATCAATACATCTCGCAACGAAATTTCTCCTACAGTAGTGCCGGACGTAGAAACGGCATGCGCGACACATTATCATCGGGCCGGGGGTTAGCGTGTGCGTCCTTCTTGATATAGTGTTGTTATAGTCGTTATCGTCATGAACAGAGGATCCCATGTGTGCTAGTATATGGTGAATGTTTGATCGATTCTTGTTGTGAGTTTCAGCCAATCGGGTATCTCCCGCGGCATCGCGAAACTTCCGAGAATCGTGCAAATGACTGAAGACGAAAAACGGAATTTCTTCACCCTTGCATGTAAGTTCGACAAACTTCTACACCTCCTATCGAAAAATCCCTAAACTTCGTAGGCGGCCGCAATACATGCATATGGTTCGGCGTTCGGCGGCAAATTTGAATTTTCAGGCTAAAAATCTCCAAAACGGGATAGATTTACGTTAAGTATGGGAGGGAGTTATGATGGAATGATCAATTCTAAGTGTTATTTCAAGTTTAATTATTATAAATACACTGTTTATACTGTATCATTTGCCTTAGCGTTCACTGGTATGGCATAAATGTACTTTCTTCCCGCGCCTAGTAATAAAGATATATTCTGAAGCGTTGATTGCTCTTTTACAGTATACTGTTTAACTGCGCCATCATTTATGATAAAAAATTATTAAAGTAAAATTTACCTATTAATGTTAATATTCAAGACATAATCAAGATAAAATAGAGGCTGAAACAAATTAATAATAAAATAATGTTAATATTCAAAATGAAATAATCCGCCCAAATGGTAACTTCCTGGATTTACCCTTACCTGATTACCAGCTAGAATAGATTTCTTCATGTTAATAAAATTTGAGCACTAGTACAAGGAATCAACTGATAAATTAATTCCAATTCACTAATTGCAGGATTTAGTTTAAATTCTGCAAATATCTAAATTGGTTTTTTTGACGCAATTCTGTAATAAATTCTTCAAGTTTTGAAATATGCTTTTAAAAAAATCATTGCATTTATTTTTAGCTTCACGGGGTCCAGGCAAGCGACAAATTAAACCAAATGCTAATATTTTGCTCGATACCATTCCACTTACCGACAGTGATGAAGATGATGATTTCATTGGTTAGTTATGGAATTTCAAAATTTATTTTGAAACGCATTTATATACACCAGATATATCTTGTGTGATAAATGTTGCTATTTTCTTCTCATATACTTGTTAAGCATATTTATGTGAACTTTTAAACTCAATCCATAACATTTAATAAGCCTTATTTCTGTTTAAAATTTCCTAGTAAGTCAAATTTTAGAGTTTGTCAAGTTTAGCTACACTATTTGGAATTTTCTGTCAACCATTAAAATTTGTTTTTTCCATGACAGCTGGAAGAACTGGTGATGAGTCGTCGCCTAATTCGGATTTATCAAGCAGCGAGGGCGATGAAGAGAAAGATGAAAATGACGATAATGCACAAACTTCAAATTCGAGTGAGTCGGACTTCGGACCTGAAAAACACGAGAATGAGGTTTTTCATTCTTTCCTATGTTGCTTCATTGAGGTTTCTATAAATTCAGCTTCCATTAGTTTTAAAACCTTCCTCCTTACCGAATCTTATTGCAGGATGCGAAATCAGAATTCAGTGTTACAGGTGCAAATGGTTACAATATTCAGCCAGTAATCTTTTTCAGTTTGAAATAGTTTTCATGTTTTTGGTGATTTCTAGCTCCCTTGATTTAGATTTTTCGGCAGCTTTTCATGTCTTTTATTTGTTTTTCTTACAGCGCTAATTCGAATTTCGGCGCAATAAAGTTTGTTTCGGGGTTAAAGAAGATAGGAGATTTTTATTCATTCACCAGGCTTAGCTATATAGAATTTTCAATTTTGAATTGTTGTAACAATTTTTTGGAAATCAAGATCTAAAAGGGAAGAATGAATGGCATACTATAATGATATTTATTACGATGGTGTTTAATGATATTTATTTAATGATATTTTATAAAAGGGAAGAATATTTATTGATAAAAGTTTCATTCTTCTCATGAACGCGAAATTTTTTGTGGGATAATGCAGAGTTGTCGTTTCAGGGTCAGTTGATCTGCACGTTGTGTCTAAATCAGCGTGCCGTTGTGCGCAATGATGAAGTCATTCAGTGCGATAAGTAAGTTAAACTTTAAATCACTGAAATGTTATAGTTCAAGATATTTCTGTTGAAATAGAATTCAGGACAAGATAGATTTCTTTATTGAGATAGTTTTTCGGAAACCAAGGGTCAATATTTATATGCATAGATAGAATCATCTTTTGTTCGCTTCTTCCGACAGTTTGTTTGTTGATTTTGCTCGTAGGTGTGGAGTGGCAGTGCATGAGAATTGTTACATTACCGAAAATGTGGGAGATTCCGAGAGCGACGGTTCCAGTTCATCAACCGAACCATGGTTTTGTGAAGCATGTTTGTATGGTCTCAAAGAACCGCCATATTGTGAGCTGTGCCCAAATAGATTTGGTGCTTTCAAAAAAGCTGGTAATTTTTGTTGGATTTGATATTGTCAAACCGCACTAAATCTTATTTATGAATATCTATCTGTCTAACCTATCTATCTATTTATCTATCCATCTATCTATCTATCCATCTA